ATGGAGTTTTGGTTCCTTGCCGCTGTCACCTCTGGCTTGCTTAGACTTGACTTGACTATTCACAATAAATACATTCTTTTTTTTTTTATAATATAGTTACAAACATTTCCTCTTTCTCACCTTTTGTGTCTTTGCATGCTTCATCACAATCATGCTTTTCATATGTATACCATGTTTTGTGAGAATAAACCATTTTCAAGATTTATAACATATATTTGTCACATGTTGGTGCTGTAAGGAGCACAAGATGACGGATAATTCCAAATAACAGTCTTTTAATAAATCCACTGAAGAAACACTGGAGAAACTCAGGGAAATACAGCACAACCAACATCTAACATCAAACAAACACAAAGTCCATGAACAGAACATAATCGTGACAGTACTCCTTCTCCGGCCAGGCGCAACCTAGCGCCATAACAAAAACAAACAAAGGTAGAAACACTGGAGAAACTCAGGGAAATACAGCACAACCAACATCTAACATCAAACAAACACAAAGTCCATGAACAGAACATAATCGTGACTCCTTCTCCGGCCAGGCGCAACCTAGCGCCATAACAAAAACAAACAAAGGCGGGGACAAAGGATAGCAGGCAGAAAGGCAGGCAGATGACCAGGGCGGTGACGACGGAAGGAGGAGCCATGGAGGGATCAGGAGGAACCATGGCGGACCAGTTGGAGGGAGGAGCCAAGGAGGAGCAGATGGAGGGAGGAGCCAGGGAGGAGCAGACGGAGGGAGGAGCCAGGACGGACACAGGAGGGACTTGGAGCAGGAGGAGCCAGGCGGGACCCAGACCGCAGCCATGAATGCAGCCCACGGTGGAGCCGATGGAGGGAGGAGCCATGGTGGAGGAAGGGCTGATGACTCCAGGGGGCCGACCGACAGCAGCGGAGCAGGTGGGAGAGTAGCCCGGGGCGGAGACGGAGAGCCGTAGAGCCAGGGCGACGGGGAGGATCTGGAGGACCAAGGCGGAGCAGATGGCTCAGCCGACCGAGGCGTAGGCAGGTATCCGGAAGGCCGCGGTGGAGCCGGAGCGACAGAGGACCAAGGTGGAGCTGGAGGGAGGTATGTCAGAATAAAAGTCTATTAAATCCTCTGAGTCCAGCTGCAGCTCACCCTCAGCGGTGGCACAGTGGGCAGGGCTTTTCCTCCACTGTATAATCCTCCGTGACGGGCATTGTTGCCGGCTCACGCACCTGGTCAGACATTTGATGAGGCTCTGGCTCCGGGCGATGGCTCGTCGGTCGTGGCGGGCTTTGGCTCTCCATCTGCAGTGGGCTCTGGCTGTTGCTCCACGCGGTAAGGTGGTGTCTGGCTGGGCTCTGGGTCCGGAGTTCCTCATCATCGTTACAGACGGTGAACGGGGATCTGTTTCTCACCAGTACCCACTCCACAAAGGCGGCGAAACTCTCCCGAGGACCATCTTCGGATGGCCGCGCTCTGCAAGCGGTGTTGAGGCAGTCGTCCGGGTAGCTGGTGTAATGGGCTAATCGAGAGTTTGCTCCCCCTGCTCCAGCAGGAGGAGGAGGAATTCGGGACGGTGGGTCATAAAAAACAAAAAGAAAACTTTCAAAAACAAAAAACACAGGGACACAGAAGAAACACTGGAGAAACTCAGGGAAAATGCAGCACAACCAACATCTAACATCAAACAAACAAAAAGTCCATGAACAGAACATAACCGTAACAATAGGCCATGAAAATAACAAATTTCATTTTTAGGTTTATCTTCATTATTACGACACCAGGTGTGACTCTTCAGAGTCAATATTTGTACACATGCACTAAATTTCATCAAAATGATTGATCCATTTCAGGGATTTTTGTCAAATAGGCCACACTCTACATTTGGGACTAGACAAATCTTTCCAGGCAGAGGCCAATAGGGCTAAATGAGATCTCTAAGTTATGAGCCGAGGAATTGTTTCTAAAATTTATTAATGTAATTTCTTTTCCCTGACTTGCAGATGACATTATAAAAACCTCTACTCTACCATTCACTCTTTTTGATGGAAAAATTTTATGAATTTTGAAACTTGTTTAACAAACCACGCACATTCACAGGATTGTTGGATATCATAGGCAGGCAAGGTCTGCAAAAATATAGTACAGTACATGAAGGCATTTTAGTGCATAGGATGATTTGCAAATATTGGATTCAGACATGCCTTGAATGTCTACCATTGTATGTTTGGTCTGTGCTCACTGTTTCCTGCTTCTTCTGTTCCTGGTCCCTGTTTTAATTGTGTCCAGGTATTCTTGTAATCAGGCATGCTATGTCATTCTCCTTTGATGTGTCTCAATCAGCTCCTTAGTTCATAAGTCAGGGCACTGACAAGGAATTTCTAGAGCTGTCCCAATGTCAAAATTGTTCCAAACACTGAACATTCACTCTCTAATAATTTCCACAATGCACCACAAAAACCAGGGAGCATCATTGCTCACTTTGTTGCCTTATCAGCTGAAATGTTGCTAGGATATGTAACAGAAGTGTACTTTGAAACAAATCACACCAGAAAGATAGCAGTCCTGCTTACTGACCTGTGATGTTCTTGAAAGGTGTGGTGGTCTCGCAGTTCATTCCACCAGAGAGGAGCAGAGAGGGTGAAGGCTTTGGAAAACTACTTTGTGCCTCATTGTGGGACCTCTGATTGATTGAAGGAGAAATTATTTGCATTGTTTTGAGTTTAGATGGTTCTTCCTACTTGTGTGATTGTTGGAGGAAGACAGCACATTTCCCATGAAGAACTCTTAACTTCCCAGTCCCCAAATTCAACCAGTTTGTTCTACAACCAGTTCCCATGCTGCCCACACCTGCCACAAAGTTCCATGTCTGAGTTCCCTGTCTCAAGCCATGCCACAGATGTCATTATGTGGTGTTATTATATGTCTTTATGTGTGCTCTTTTCAATTTGTCTGAGTCCATCTTGTATAATTTAGTAAACATAAATCATATCAGCATTTACACCCTCCTACCTTACACATTTAATCTGGTCAGTTAGATCACTGGATCTCAACCAGGGTGCAGTGGCATTTTAGCATTATAGCATTTTAAATTAATTTACTAAGTATTATTAAAGTTTATGTTAATACAAAAAAGTCTGAAATAAGATAAAAAGGTTGAGAACTATTGTGTTAGATGGCTTGTAACTCACTCTGCATTACAGTAGTGTAGGCTCTCTTGTACTTAGTGATGTGTGTTTTTGTGTCTCTGCAGAAAGTATCCCCACAAGTGAGACAGAGTCTGTGAACACAGAGAACCCAGGAGAAGATGAGAAAGTCTGCTGTGGGCCCATCTGGTATGTGCTCCATTTTTATACCTTATATACAGCTAAGCACAAGTTTTTCACACCCTTTTGTACCTGCAATAACCTCCCAGCAAACTCCCAGCTCTTGAATCTCTAATGAAATGTTTACTAGTTGTCACTTGCTGGAAGTTTTTCATCAGCTTGTAGTGTGGCACGAAGTGATGCCGTATTTTTAACTTTTTCAGTCAGAAATTGACAAAGTCGAAGTTCAGGTCAGTAGCTCAGTGTGTGTTTGAAGCTGAATTCAGTTCCAGTTGTGTGTTTGCGCTGTTCTTTTGTCTTTTTATTGTCACTTCACCTCATCATTCTGCATTTCGGTGTAAATGTGCTTAGTTTTAACATTTAAAGCTCTTTATGTTGATGTGCTGCGGTGTGTCAGTGAATCTATCGAGGCGCTTTAATGCTTGCTATGTATGTTGTATTTGATAAGAATACATTCAAAGTGCTTTGCATTTCATTACATTAAAGCTTGAACAATCTTTTAACCATATTGCATGCATGGACACACTAAACAGCATACAATATGTGTTCATAAATTAGTGGTGCAAATACAGACTTTGAGTATGTAATGCTCACAATGCTCTCCAATGACATCCTGTCTCTGCAGCCGCTGGCGTTGCTGGAACAGATTTTGTCGCCGGAAGTGCCGAGCTGTTGTGAAATCCACCGTCTTCTATTGGCTGGTGATTCTGCTGGTGTTCCTCAATACACTCACAATATCATCCGAACATTATAACCAGCCCGACTGGCTCACGAAAGTCCAGGGTGAGAACCTCACAGCAGTCACTCACTGAAACTCTTTTTGCTTTTTGCTACGAAAATGAATAAAACTTGATGATGCGCAGATTGGGATGCGCAGTGATGCATATGTATGCACGTATGCATGTCTTATTTGTTCTTCTTGTGTTTGTCTGCAGATGTGGCTAATAAGGTGTTGTTAGCCCTGTTCACATGCGAGATGCTAGTAAAAATGTACAGTCTGGGACTACAGGCATACTTTGTGTCGCTTTTCAACCGCTTCGACTGCTTTGTTGTTTGCGGAGGCATAGTGGAGACGATCCTCGTGGAGCTTGAGATCATGTCTCCTCTCGGCATTTCTGTGTTTCGCTGCGTCCGGCTCCTCAGAATCTTTAAAGTCACACGGTGAGAAACAGCACAGATGATCTGATGTTCCTCTTCAGGAACTCGAGCTGCGTCGGAGGACGCTTCGGGAACGCCCTTCAGCGTGACCGGCTCTGAACCTCTTGTGTAATCAGTCCAATAGATGGGCGAGATGTCACGGAGCTGACGGCCCGTTTTGGTAGCGTTTGTTACTGCCTTGCTTCGCTCTCAGAGGGCTCTCTTTGAGGAGAGAGCCTTCACTAGCGTTTCTCGCGGCGCCGGCCCCGCTTTCGCCCAGGCGGAGCGCCGGCTGTGCTCGTGGGTTTCGCATATGGATCCGGTGGAAAGAATGTAGATGGGCGCGTCCCTATCTACTTTCTTAACCACCAGATCCAGCGCCCGCTCTCGGGGTTTCGGAAGCCCGCGCTGCGGTACTTCTCCCCCGGGGAGAGGGCGAAACGCTCCGCCTGTCTTTCTCCGAGGAGATTGATATGGAGGGCGTCAAAGAGCTCGCCAGTTGCACAAACACCAGTTACACAAGCATATTATGCCTGATATTATAATGAACAGCATCAATGGGGAGCGGAGCTCGCGCAGTCGGCTCTCGTGAAAAAAAAGCCCGCTGTTAAGTGCTCCGCTCTCGCCAGGCACGCTCTGAGGAGTGTGTCCATGCCTGTGATCTTGCGATTGCAGTCCCGCTGCTGCTGAGGCACGGCGGCGACTGAGTTTGTGGGAATCGCATATGATCTGGTGGACGGGTTGGAGACGGTTCGTCCTATCTTTGAGACTAAACGCCAAGAAGAGTGTGCTTTCTCCATTACAGAGGACCACTTATCCAGGCGTGGTGTGGGATTGGACCACGATGCAGGCACGTATGTCCCCTGCTCGGATCGAGTCGATCCTTACCGCAGTCGCGAGAGTCAGAGAAGGCTCTCCTCTTCGCACGGGGCCAAGCTGTACCCCGTGCGCCGGACGGGTACAGCTTGACTCACTGTCAAGCAGTTTCGGAGACTGCTGGGACCAGCAGAAGCTAAACTGTATGTGTCCAGTGTGAGTACTGGATGCATACGTCCACAGAGCTGCCTTGTGGAGAAGGGCGGACCAACTGCTCGTATGCTATGGTCCCCCTAAGAGAGGCCTTCCAGCTGCAAAACAGACCCTCAGTCGGTGGATAGTAAATGCCATTTCTATTGCCTATGAGTCCTCTGATCTCCCTTCGCCTCTTGGGGTCAAGGCTCACTCTACCAGAAGTGTGGCGGCCTCTAAGGCCTTCTTGGCAGGTGTCTTGATGCAGGACATCTGCGACGCTGCGGGATGGTCCACGCCCCTAACCTTCGCCAGGTTCTATGGCCTAGACATGTGAGCCACTCCTGGCTGCTCTGTTCTCGCGCCTTAGCTGTGCACGCTCCCACACTAGGCGAGATTTGAAAGTCTGGCGGCGTGGGCATTCTCGTTCCCGAAGCGTCCTCCGACGCAGCTCGAGTTCCTGAAGAGGAACGTCTCAGGTTACGTATGTAACCATGGTTCCTCGAGGTAACGAGACGCTGCGTCTCGGGGCCATTCTTTCGGCATCTCTGCCAGCGCTTGCTTCACTCCTGGAAGCTGACGCTGGTCTCGCCGCACGTGCTTTTATAGCTTCCTGGTCATTACGTCACCCGCCCGTGATGTCTCGCCCATCTATTGGACTGATTACACAAGAGGTTCAAAAGCGTCCTCCGACGCAGCATCTCATTCCCTCGAGGAACCATGGTTACATACGTAACCTGAGACGGTTTCTTATGCTGCCTTCATATCACTGTAATTACAGGATGATAACTCATCAGAGTAATTTTAAAATGGTTTCTCTGACTACACTCTTGATGTGTATTGATGTGTCAGTGGTCAAAATAGAGAACATATCAAACAAAAATATATGAGTAATTGATGCATAACATCATGTATTTGTACAAAAAAAAAAAGTTTTATCACAGGACCATTTAAAATAAGTAAGCTAGATTAGTAAACAAACTTTTTTTGAAGAACCCCACGTCCAACTAGTAGTATTGCTCTTGAAGAGTCAATACAAGTCAAAAGGAACCAAAGTTCTGTTGAAATTGTTGTAACACATTTCATTTTTTTAATGACTATAAACAATATGTGACCAATAACTAAAATGTAATGGTGCTGAAAGTATGAACCCATTATGTGGGTCTGGTTTTAAGTCTGTCTCTGTTTCTAGTCACTGGGCGTCTCTGAGTAACCTGGTGGCATCACTTTTGAACTCCATGAAGTCCATTGCATCCCTACTGCTGTTGCTCTTCCTCTTCATCATTATCTTCAGTTTGCTTGGCATGCAGCTCTTCGGAGGAAAGTTCAACTTTGATGAGACTGTTACCAAACTAAGCACTTTTGACAACTTTCCTCAAGCCCTGCTGACTGTCTTTCAGGTGTGTCTGTGCGCGAGTCAAGTCACCTTTATTTACGTATCACTTTATACAATTCAGATTGTGTCAAAGCAGCTTTACAGTGTTAAACAGGAAAATAGTGTGTCAATAATGTAAACAACAATTAAATTCTGCTGTAAAGCAGCTCTAAAAAGAGCACAATAGCAAGTCAATTTTTCAGTTAAAGGCAGTTCATCGTTGATTCAGGGATGTCATTATCCAGCTCAGTTCAAATCTCTTCCAGTATCATTTTGTAAGAAATGTGTTGACATATAGCTTGTTTGGCAATATTTGGATAGTTTACAGTACGAACATTAACTTTGCATGAAAGCAGCATGTACAATTATTGAAGAAAGAGTTTTAGATGGAGCACATCCATCCAGCCAGCCAGTAGAATGCAGCAAGACATTGTCAAATTCCCACTTGTAAATATGTAATTTTTTTTCTTACGCATCAGATCCTGACGGGTGAGGATTGGAATACAGTGATGTATGATGGGATCATGGCGTATGGAGGCCCCTCCTCCTCAGGCATGCTTGTGTGCATCTACTTCATCATCCTCTTCATCTGTGGAAACTGTATCTTTTCTTCTGTTCTGTCCATTTTACCTCACATCCATACTATATAAGATTTCTTCAGACTGTGTTGAACTGACCAAACAAGCAGCTGAACTCAAGTTGAAGAATGAAATTAAAGCTGTTCTGCTGATTTGTAGTGATTAAATCAAAAGCTTTAAATTTGTTTAAAGATACAATAGACAAAGAAATTAACTTTGTACATTTCAGGCCTGAAGTGATCAAAAACATGAACACAAATCTTGATTTCACACATTTTGCATTCTGATAAGTGTCAGACTGCATTTCTTACCACAACACAAGTACATTCTCTGCTGCTGTAACAGACATCTGTACCCACTTTATATTAGGTGTCTTTAACTACTGTGCACCTACATGCTGTTATATTGTACTTACAGTGCAGAACATTGTTGTGTGAACATTCATCACTGATGGTGTGTCCAAGGAGCACCAGTTAGTGTTTCAAGATACAAAGCAGTCTGGGGTTGCCAATGACATCCAGGAAAGGCTGGATGACGATCATGAGTAGTGTGGTGATGACTGGAGAGACAGTGGACAGCACAGAGAAATGGCATTCAGGGCAGTGAGGGTTGGCATCCCAAACTGCAGCTTCGGTGAGGGAGCACCCACATAAAGCTATGGATTGCAAGGAGTTAGTTACAACTCCTGAACCCTTCATCCTGTTTAACATCATGGAGCCTACCCTAGCAGAAGTCAGGGATACAGTCAAAGCAGCACAGACTAGGTGAGGTCAGAGCATCAAATTTTCACTCACCGATCAAATGTTCACTCACTGCTCAAAATGCTAAGTTTTTGTCAAGTGCTGAGTTCTGCAAGCTCGCGAATCCTCTCATTACAACAATGTGTAGATATGATGTAAATAAGAGATTCATTGTGCAGTGCAGACAGCTTAATTGATTAACGGAACATTGTGAGATCACGGTGAACTGAAGCGAATGACAGCTTTTAGTGATTATAAAGGGAGCGCTCTTTGCGCACTTACTAGGCTGTATAATCCTGTCTGACTGTTTCAGAATGGATATATTAACCTCAGAGAAGGAAGTATCGTGTTTCGTTGCAACCCACATGCAACTTCTACATTTTATCCTGCTCCCTCCTGCAAAATCCCACAGGTAGAGAGCAACACAGATTTTTATGTCCTGTTCCAGTATGATTCTTGTTCCGGTGTCATAGGCTATTTTTTTTTTACAATTCCCACACAAGCATGACACTTCTAACTTCGCCTTGTTGCATTTGTTGCAGCAGGCAAACGGAAGTGCTTTCTCTTGCTGTCACATACAACTGAAAAGCATTGACAATATCCAACCCTGCACCCGTAAACCATTTATCTTTGTTGCGCAATAGACAAATAACATTCTGTACATTAAAACATAAAGTAAATTTGAGTAACTTTTATTTTATTATTAGATGTTTATATTTTGCAGGAGTTCCATGAGTAATTTATTTTTCCCGCTTCCTGCGCACACATCAGTATCTTCCCTCACGCTTGTCAAGTCAAGTCACCGTTATACAGATTGTGTCAAAGCAGCTTTACAGTGTTAAACAGGAAAATAGTTTGTCAATAATGCAAGAGGACAATAACAAAGAGTAATTTTTCAGCTAAAGTCAGTTCATTGATGATTCAGTGATGTCATCATCCAGTTCAGCTCTCGTCCAATAGTGTCTGTGCAATCAGTCAAGTGTCCCCAACTAAGCAAGCCAAAGGCAACAGTGGCAAGGAACCAAAACTCCATCGGTGACAGAAATGGAGAAAAAACACTTGGGAGAAACCAGGCTCAGTTGTGGGGCCACTTCTCCTCTGACCAGACGAAACCAGCATGGTGTGGTTTAATTGCAGGCTGCAACACAGGTGCAGAGGACTTGTCTGGTTCCCATGGTCTTGTGCTGATGTGTTGTCGAGGTGAAGAAGTCTTCGCAGGGGATCTGTCTCTGGGGTTCATCTAGTTGACATGGTCCCCGCTGACATTCAGGGCTGTAGAGGTCGTCTCTAGGTGCTGATCCACCATCTGATCTGGATACAGACTGGATCTGGTGGCTACGGTGACCTCGGAATAAGAATGAAAGAGACTAATATTACCGTAGATGCCATTTTTCTTATGATGTAGAGAGTACATCAGATGTTATGGGAAGTGTTCCTGATTCCGGTTGTCCTAATTAATGCAACCTAACAATCTTTTAACGGATTTGAATTATAGAAATGTGATAGTGTATTATGTGTATGCCAAATTAAAGAGATGGGTCTTTAATCTAGATTTAAACTGACAGAGTGTGTCTGCCTCCCGAACAACACTAGGTAGATTATTCCAGAGTTTGGGCGCTAAATAGGAAAAGGATCTGCTGCCCGCAGTTGATTTTGAGCTATCAAATAGCACACCTGGGTGCTCACCGAGGTTCCTAACTGATGCCGAGGAATTGACAGAGCAGCCATCAAGTGTTAGACAGTGTTTTAGGTTATTACATGCGGAGGTTTTTGGTCCAATAATTAAAACCTCAGTTTTTTTTTTTAATTTAGCAGTACAAAATTACTAGTCATCCAGTTTTTTATTTTAACTATGCATTCCGTTAGTTTAGAATGTGTTCCTTTTAATTTCTTAACACATCTGATCAGACATCTTACTGAACGTATTCTTGGCCATTGCTGTGGATAACCTGGCAGATGCAGAAAGTCTGACGTCAGCCCAGAAAGAGGAAGAGAAGAGGAACAAGAGAAAGAAAAGCAGGTGAGCGCTCCTCTCTGACACCCTAAGAAGAGTTTCATTCAAACACTGAGCACAATCATCTGCTAACATACAGAGTGTGTTTTGTGCAGGAGTATGAGCATATACAAGAGAGATGGTGACGATGGAAACTTAAAGGTGGGTGACATGGCTCTCTGGAATACTTGACTAGTTGTGTGTTTATTTCTTTGCTAAGTGGCTGTACTCATCTGAACATGATCACAAAATTAATCTGCTTAGGGTGACACTACCACCCTGACAGGGTTTACTTTGTTATAATGAGCAGCTGACTCTACATTATCACTATTACTGAGGTCCTTTGGTTGCAGGCATCTGGTGATCAGGAGGGTGATCAGGATCAGACAGAAGACATGACTGACTCCTCAGGTGAACCTCTAATAGTGTTTACCACTCAGCTCTGCACATGATCTCCAGAAATGTTAGCTGATCACTGTGATTATGTGTGTATGTAGAGGAGGATGAGGAGGAAGAGCCTGAGGTACCGTCAGGGCCGCGGCCCCAGAGATTGTCAGAGCTGAGCCTCAGAGAAAAGACGCCACCCATCCCAGAGGGCAGCGCCTTCTTCATCCTTAGCAACACCAACCCGTATGTCATACAAATCTTTAAAGGGAGAGTTCACTCAGAAATTAGACTTCTACCATAATTTGCTCACCCTTATTCCAAATCAATATGACTTTATTTACATTTACATTTTTTCATTTAGTAGAAACTTTTATCCAAAGTCACTTACAAATGTGGAACATCACAAGCAATTTATCGTACCATATGCATATTACAAAATGGCAAGTTTAAAGCAGAAGCTAGATTAGTACACAAGCTACAGCAGTATGGAATGCCATCCCTGAGTACAAGAAGTGTAGCCTACATGACGCGCCTGTTGATAGTGTGGGATGAATGACTTAGATGGGCAATATGGCCAAAATCTTATATCACTGGTTATTATTTCAGTTTCACGTGGGGGGTTGTTTCGGCTGGGAAGCGTGCAATCTGTGATGCATTTGCTGAAGCTCGCGAAAGCGTGTAATCGCTTTCTTATGCGCACTGTTTTTTTAGGTTTCACTTTCAACGCATACCATGCATGTTTCAAAGATTCGGGATTGAAGGAGGCATCAGTTACTGTAGAAGGTTTGTCGCTTCGCGCCACTTCCCGTGTGGTCACCGCATCAACTGATTATAATGGGTTCTCTTGGTGTAGACACGGCTTTAGACACGGATTAATCACATGTCTTAGGCTGGAATTAGATATCAAACAAATATCCAGAATTAGATCAAACAAAAGGTGTCCATGGGAACGGAGCTAGTGAAACACACACGCCATGCATTGAACATACAAGCATCATGCTCATCCAAACAGCGCCTGTCCTGTGCCCTCAGCTTTTTGAGCTAACTGCATTTT